CGTATATATATATATATATATATATATATATATATAAATATATAGATATATGATATATATTAGCCATTATATTAGATAATTGACAGCAGGCATTAGATAATATGTGCTGCAGAAGAAGGCCAGCTACATACCTTCTTCTGGACTAGACTGTGTCGCTCCTCCATCCTCCGCTCCGCACATTCCGCCTGGTTTCGCAACGCTGCGATCTGCAACAAAGCAATGCTGACGTCAGAGCAATCGCCGACAGGCACCTGGTTCACACTGCTCTGCAGTTTACGCACTCTTCTGTTGCCGTGAATCATCTCGCTGACAGATGAAGACAGATGCAGTGTAAGCGACATACACAACATGCTGCCCGTCTCTGTTCCCACAAAAACACCAGAAAGTTACGGCAAAGTATTTCAGCGACAACTTCATCTCTAAGCAACACTCAAGTTGTGTCAGCGCCAACGAAAATTTTGCATTGCAAGTGGTCACTGTTTTGAAGCAAACATAATGCAGTATTGTGTAGATGGGAACAAGTGCGCAAAAACAGGCATGCATCAGTGCATCACCACTAGAAATTCACTCAAGAACACAGTACCAGTTTCTAAATACCCTCATAAAGAGAGGCCATCATGAAGTCGAGAGAAAAAGACTTATTTTACGATAATTATTTACATAATATCAGTACAATTAATAATTCATCCTCTCTTGATGCCATGACTAGAGCTCCTCTCTGCACAATCCTGCTGCTGAAAATGTCATCGTGCAAAACTTGCTGCCATCATGTAACTTAACAATGACACGCGGTGTGTCCTTGCTGGTGCAGCAACTACGATGACTACAAGTCAAAGGACAACAACGTCAGTGATGTGACAACGACTGCCGATAGTGCATCTCACCTTGAGACCTGTCTGCTTGAGGAAGCAGTCGGAGTGTTCAAAGAAGTCGTGACCCTGGTGGAAGTAGACTGATTGTGCGTGAAGGAACGACAGCAGCTGAAACACACGCAAGCAGACGATATCAACACGAGCGTCTTAGCTTCGGCACGAGACAGTGACACACAGACTTCAGAGTCTGGGAAATTTACAATGATGTGAATGCACCAACCAATGCATTAAGTAAGAAACTTGCTACCTCACGTGCATCAGTAAATTTTAATTGAGTTTCAAACATAAAAGGTAACCATACGATGTGCTGTGTGAACTCTGACCACACTCATACGTGTACAGCACTACATTTTAGCGAAGGAGGAAGAACAAGTGCCGCAGAGCGACAGCGCTCAACTGACGTGTACTGTAGCTGGGTATTCTTCTGATAAACTCACTGGCAACTGAATCAAGTGCGCCCTCCCACCACCGCGTTGATAGGCTTTGCTATACCGGTAGTACAGTAATAAAGATATAGCTGTGTAACTTTAATGACTTCGCTATATTAACGTTATCATGGATATGCATCGAGCGCGAGCATAGTGGTGGTGGGGAGGGGGCTCTAATAGCAAAAGCAGTTCAGTCCTTTGTTAACAGTCAACAAATCCATGTTTAACCCTCCTCTGAGGCGGTCAAAAGGTTATCAGACACTCTTACTCTTCGCGTCAGCGGGAAGTAGATTTCATGGTGCTTTCAATAGTGATAAAAATGCGTAGGTCAGACGCCGAACAAAAAGTTTTGCACTCGCGGTCCGTTAGACCATGTCCTCCACGAAAATGTCTGATATCTGACCTTCTCCCCACTGCCTTTGACCTGTGACCTCCAATTTCGCACTGGTGATGGTTTCCTCCCCATCACACTATACACCGAATATTAAGAGTATAGGTCAAGCCGTTGAGATTTGTGCCGCATTTCCGTATTTCCTCCTATACCTTAAGTTAAGGGGGAAATGTTCCCATTCGACAATCTCGACCTTGACCCTTGACCCCCAAATTCGACATCCCGAGTCCTTTTCGCGATCCCCCCCGACGTCCCGAACGAGAGGAGGAAGGAGAACGAGAGAAAGGAGAACGAGAGGATGAAGGAGAATGAGAGGAAGAAGGAGAACGAGAGAAGGAAGGAGAACGAGAGGAAGAAGAACGAGAGGAGGAAGGAGAACGAGAGGAGGAAGGAGAACGAGAGAAGGAAGGAGAACGAGAGAAGGAAGGAGAATGAGAAGGAAGGAGAACGAAAGGAGGAAGGAGAATGAGAGAAGGGAAGGAGAACGAGAGAAGGAAGGAGAATGAGAGAAGAAAGGAGAACGAGAGTAAGAAGGAGAACGAGAGGAAGGAGAACGAGAGGAAGAAAGAGAACGAGAGAAGGAAGGAGAACGAGAGAAGGAAGTGAGAAACGAGAGGAGGAAGGAAATGAGAGAAGGGAAGGAGAACGAGAGAAGGAAGGAGAACGAGAGGAGGAAGGGGAATGAGAGGAGGAAGGGGAACGAGAGAACGAAGGAGAACGAGAGAAGGAAGGAGAACGAGAGGAGGAAGGAGAACGAGAGAAGGAAGGAGAACGAGAGAAGGAAGGAGAACGAGAGAAGGAAGGAGAACGAGAGAAGGAAGGAGAATGAGAGAAGGAAGGAGAACGAGAAAAGGAAGGAGAACGAGAGAAGGAAGGAGAAACGAGAGAACGAAGGAGAACGAGAGGAGGAAAGAGAACGAGAGATGGAAGAGACGGAGATGAAGGAGAACGAGAGGAGGAAGGAGAACGAGAGAAGGAGGGAAAACGAGAGAAGGAAGAGAACGACGAGAGATGGAAAGAGAACGAGAGGATGAAGGAGAACGAGAGGAGGAAGGAGAACGAGAGAAGGAAGGGGAACGAGAGAAGGAAAGAGAACAAGAGGAAGGAGAACGAGAGAAGAAAGGAGAACGAGCGAAGGAAGGAGAACGAGAGAAGGAAGGAGAACGAAAGAAGGAAGGAGAACAAGAGAAGGAAGGAGAACGAGAGAAGGAAGGAGAACGAGAGGATGAAGGAGAACGAAAGAAGGAAGGAGAACGAAAGAAGGAAGGAGAACAAGAGAAGGAAGGAGAACAAGAGAAGGAAAGAGAACGAAAGAAGGAAGGAGAACGAGAGGATGAAGGAAAACGAGAGGAGGAAGGAGAACGAGAGAAGGAAAGAGAACGAGAGGAGGAAGGAGAACGAAAGAAGGAAGGAGAACGAGAGGATGAAGGAGAACGAGAGGATGAAGGAGAACGAGAGAAGGAAGGAGAACGAGAGAAGGAAGGAGAATGAGAGAAGGAAGGAGAAACGAGAGAAGGAAGGAGAACGAGAAAGGAAGAGAACGAGAGAAGGAAGGAGACGAGAGAAGAAGGAGAACGAGAGAAAAGGAGAACGAGAGAACGAAGGGAGAACGAAGGAGGAAGAGAACGAGAGGAAGGAAAGAGACACGAGGGAGGAAGGAGAACGAGAGATGGAAAGAGAACGAGAGGATGAAGGGAGAACGAGAGAAGGAAGGGAAACGAGAGAAGGAAAGAGAACAAGAGCGAAGGAGAAACGAGAGAAGGAAGGAGAACGAGCGAAGGAAGGAGAACGAGAGAAGGAAGGAGAACGAAAGAAGGAGGAGAACGAGAGAAGGAAGGAGAACGAGAGAAGGAAGGAGAACGAGAGAAGGAAGGAGAACGAGAGGATGAAGGAGAACGAGAGGAAGGAGAACGAGAGGAGGAAGGAGAACGAGAGGATGAAGGAGAACGAGAGGATGAAGGAGAACAAGAGAAGGAAGGAGAACGAAAAAAGGAAGGAGAACGAAAGAAGGAAGGAGAACAAGAGAAGGAAGGAGAACGAGAGAAGGAAAGAGAACGAGAGGAGGAAGGAGAACGAGAGGATGAGGAGAACGAGAGGATGAAGAGAGAACGAGAGGATGAAGGAGAACAAGAGAGGAAAGGAAACGAAAAAAGGAAGAGAACGAGAGAAGAAGGAGAACAAGAGAAGGAAGGAGAACGAAAAAAGGAAGGAGAACGAGAGGATGAAGGAGAACGAGAGAAGGAAGGAGAACAAGAGAAGGAAGGAGAACGAGAGGATGAAGGAGAACGAAAGAAGGAAGGAGAACGAAAGAAGGAAGGAGAACAAGAGAAGGAAGGAGAACAGAGAGGAAAGGAGAAACGAAAGAAGAAGGAGAACGAAAGAAGGAAGGAGAAACAAGAGAAGGAAGGAAACGAGAGAAGGAAAGAGAACGAAAGGAAAGAAGGAAGGAGAACGAGAGGATGAAGAAAAGCGAGAGGAGGAAGGAGAACGAGAGAAGGAAGAGAACGAGAGCGAGAGAGAGAAAGAACGGGAAGGAGAACGAGAGGATGAAGGAGAAGCGAGAGAAGGAAGGAGACGCAAGAAGGAAGGAGAACGAAAGAAGGAAGGAGAACAAGAGAAGGAAGGAGAAACGCAGAGAAGGAAAGAGAACGAGAGGAGGAAGGAGAACGAAAAGAAGGAAGGAAGAACGAAAGAAGAAGAAGAACAAGAGAAGGAAGAGAGAACGAAAGAAGGAGGAGAACGAAAGAAGGAAGAGAACAGAGAAGGAAGGAGAACGAGAGAAGAAAGAGAACGGAGAAGGAAAAGAGAACGAGAGGATGAAGGAAAACGAGAGGAGGAAGGAGAACGAAAGAAGGAAAGAGAGAACGAGAGAGGAAGAGAGAACGAGAGCAAGGAAGAGAGAACAAAAGAAGGAAGGAGAACGAGAGGATGAAGGAGAACGAGAGGAGGAAGGAGAACGAGAGAAGGAAAGAGAACGAGAGGAGGAAGGAGAACGAGAGGATGAAGGAAAACGAGAGGAGGAAGGAGAACGAGAGAAGGAAAGAGAACGAGAGAAGGAAAGAGAACGAAAGAAGGAAGGAGAACGAGAGGATGAAGGAGAACGAAAGAAGGAAGGAGAACGAAAGAAGGAAGGAGAACAAAGAGAAGGCGAAGGAGAACGAGAGAAGGAAGAAACGACAAGAAGAAAGGAGAACGAGAGAATGAAGGAAACAGAGAAGGAAGGAAAAAAGAAGGAAGGAGAACAAGAGAAGGAAAGAGAACAAGAGAGGAAGGAGAACGAGAGGATGAAGAAAACGAGCAGAAGGAAGGAGAACAATAAGAAAGGAAGGAGAACGAGAGAAGAAAGGAGAACGAGAGAAGGAAGGAGAACGAGAGAATGAAGGAGAACAAGAGAAGGAAGGAGAACGAGAGAAGGAAAGAGAACGAAAGAAGGAAGGAGAACGAGAGGATGAAGGAGAACGAGAGAAGGAAGGAAACGAGGAAGAAAGAGAACTAAAGAAGGAAGGAGAACGAGAGATGAAGGAGAACAAGAGAAGAAGAGAACGAAAGAAAGGAAGGAGAAACGAGAGGATGAAGGAAAACGAGAGGAGGAAGGAGAACGAGAGAAGGAAAGAAGAATCAAGAGAGGAAGGAAAACGAGAGAAGGAAGGAGAACAAAAGAAGGAAGGAGAACGAGAGAAGAAAGGAGAACGAGAGAAGGAAGGAGAACGAGAGAATGAAGGAGAACAAGAGAAGGAAGGAGAACGAGAGAAGGAAGAGAACGAAAAAGGAAGGAGAACGAGAGGGATGAAGGAGAACGAGAGAAGGAAAGAGAACGAAAGAAGGAAGGAGAACGAGAGGATGAAGGAAAACGAGAGGAGGAAGGAGAACGAGAGAAGGAAGGAGAACGAGAGAAGGAAAGAGCAGGGAAGAGAAGGAAGAGAACGAGAAGGAGAACGAGAGGATGAAGGAAAACGAGAGAGGAAGGAGAACGAAAGAAGGAAAGAGAACGAGAGAAGGAAGGAGAACGAGAGGAGGAAGGAGAACGAGAGAGGAAGGAGAACGAGAGAAGGAAAGAGAACGAGAGGAGGAGGAGAACGAGAGGATGAAGGGAAAAAGAGGAGGAAAGGGAACGAGAGAAGGAGGAGAACAAAGAAGGAAGGAGAACGAGAGAAGGAAGAGACGAGAGGATGAAGGAGAACGAAAGAAGGAAGGAGAACGAGAGGATGAAGGAGAACGAGAGAAGGAAGGAGAACAAAAGAAGGAAGGAGAACGAGAGGATGAAGGAAAACGAGAGGAGGAAGGAGAACGAGAGAAGGAAGGAGAACGAGAGAAGGAAAGAGAACGAGAGAAGGAAAGAGAACGAAAGGAAGGAGAACGAGAGGATGAAGGAAAACGAGAGGGGAAGGAGAACGAGAGAAGGAAAGAGAAGCGAGAGGAGGAAGGAGAACGAGAGGAGGAAGGAGAACGAGGAAGGAAGGAGAACGAGAGGAGGAAGCGAGAAACAGAGAAGGAAGGAGAACAAAAGAAGGAAGGAGAACGAGAGAAGGAAGGAGAACGAGAGAAGGAAGAGAACGAAAGAAGGAAGGAAGAACGAGAGATGAAGAAAAACGAGAGAGGAAGAGAACGAGAGAAGGAAAGAGAATGAGAGCGAGGGAAGGAGAAACGAAAAGAAGGAAGGAGAACGAGAGGATGAAGGAAAAACGAAAGAAGGAAGGAGAACAAAAGAAGGAAGGAGACGAGAGAAAGGAAGGAGAACGAGAGAAGGAAAGAGAACGAAAGAAGGAAGGAGAACGAGAGATGAAGGAAAACGAAAGAAGGAAGGAGAACGAAAGAAGGAAGGAGAACAAGAGAAGGAAGGAGAAGAGAAGAAGGAAAAACAGAAGAAGAGAGAGAGGAGAAACGGAAAGAAAGAAGAGAAGGAGAACGAGAGGATGAAGGAAAACGAAAGAAGGAAGGAGAACGAGAGGATGAAGGAAACGAAGAAGGAAGGAGAACGAAAGAAGGAAGGAGAACAAGAGAAGGAAGGAGAACGAAGAAGGAAAGAAGAACGAAAGAAGGAAGGAGAACGAGAGGATGAAGGAAAACGAAAGAAGGAAGGAGAACGAAAGAAGGGAAGGAGAACAAGAGAAGGAAGGAGAACAAAAGAAGGAAGGAGAACGAGAGGAGGAAGGAGAACGAAAGAAGGAAGGAGAACGAGAGGATGAAGGAAAACGAAAGAAGGAAGGAGAACGAGAGGATGAAGGAAAACGAAAGAAGGAAGGAGAACGAAAGAAGGAAGGAGAACAAGAGAGGAAGGAGAACGAGAGAAGAAAGAGAACGAAAGAGGAAGGAGAACGAGAAGGATGAAGGACAACGAAAGAAGGAAGGAGAACAAAGAAGGAAGGAGAAAAGAGAAGGAAGGAGAACGAGAGAAGGAAGGAGAACGAAAGAAGGAAGAGAGAACGAGAGGATGAAGGAAAACGAGAGGAGGAAGGAGAACGAAAGAAGGAAGGAGAACAAGAGAAGGAAGGAGAAACGAAGGAGGAAGGAAGAACGAAAGAAGAAGGAGAACGAGAGGATGAAGGAAAACGAAAAGAAGGAAGGAGAACGAGAGGATGAAGAAAACGAAAGAAGGAAGAGACGAGAAGAAGGAAGGAGAACAAGAGAAGAAGGAGAACGAATGAGGAAGGAGAACGAAAAACGAAGGAGAACGAGAGAGATGAAGGAAAACGAAAGAAGGAAGAGAACGAGAGGAGATGAAGGAAAACGAAAGAAGGAAAGGAGAACGAAAGAAGGAAGGAGAACAAGAGAAGAAGGAGAAGGCGAGAGAAGGAAGGAGAACGAGAGAGAAGGAGAACGAGAGAATGAAGGAGAACGAGAGAAGGAAGGAACGAGAGGATGAAGGAAAACGAGGAGAAGGAAGGAGAACAAAAGAAGGAAGGAGAACGGAAAGAAGGAAGGAGAACAAGAAAGAAGGGAGAACGAATGGAGGAAGGAGAAACGAAAGAAGGAAAGTGAGAACGAGAGAAGGAAGGAGAACGAGAGAATTGAAGGAGAACAAGAGAAGGAAGGAGAACGAAAGGAGAGGAGAACGAGAGGATGAAGGAGAACACGGAGAAGGAAGGAGAACGAGAGAAGCGAAGGAGAACGAAAGAAGGAAGGAGAAACAGAGAGGATGAAGGGAACAAGAGAAGGTGAAGGTAGGAATCGAAAAGGAGGAAGGAGAACGAGAGAAGGAAAGAGAACGAGAGAAGGAAACCACGCCGCTGCCGCCGCTGCACGTACGATGTCTAGCACTTGGTACTGCTTGCGCGAGTGCAGTACGTTGATCTGGAAGACGTAGTCGAGTGCGGTGTGTGCGAAGCACGAGCTCATAGCTGTCAGCAGGCTGTGGGCCTCCTCACCCTCCACCGGCCGGTACTTGCTCGCCGCAGAATTACGCACGAGGCCCGCGTCCAGGTCATCGCTGATCTTCTCAAACACTTTCTTCGTGTCCTTGACCTTTCGGATCTCGCTGTGACACAGAAGCAATAGCATAAAAAATATAAAGAATAGCCTATTGAGTCTGAATGAGGCAACCATGCACCCCCTGGATATTGTTGGTTGGCCAAGCTAGACCAGATTATACGTGTTTTTCATGCGTGCATGCCAAATTGTCAACTTTGCCCCACTTCGTCACCAAGCATTATATTTTAGGCTGTCCTATGGCAACAATGATTGGCTAGACTTGCCTGTCAATCAGACTCTTTAGGCTAACACAGCATGACTACTGTGTTATAATGATCTCGTTTTAATACCAGAGATTTTTGCTTAGTGGACAAACACCAGGAGCCCGTTGTCAAAAACAAAATTAGCCTTAACATTAGTCTTAACAATAACTTTGACTCGTAGACTGTTGACAGAAACATCATGAAGTTACGAAAATGAAAAATCTTAGCAAATTTCCTGTTAACATGAGATCCTAGATCCTCTCGTTACTTTAAAACCAAACTTGATGAAAATAATGCAAATACATAAAGAATTGTATCCATAGTGATATTATCAGGAGTCTATCAATAGACTGATATATACTGATATATAGACTGATATTGATAGACTCCTGATATTATGTGATATTATTCATGTGATAGGTGATAGAGAAATGAATCACTTGGGGCAATTTGGACATTTTAAGATGAATACATATTCAGATTCCTGCGATTCATATCTTTCTATTGATATACAGATATTGAAAATTGGTTTTCAAAAATAAATATTTTAGGACCGTTATAAATCGAGATATCATGCATTTAAAATTTCCTGAAAATTGTCTAAAAAATAAGGGTTGAAAACTAACATCAATCACAATCAGTTAGCCGACACTTCTTATTAATCATTCAATTGAAGCAGGTTTTAATTGAATTAAGGTATTTTTGCTTATACAGATCGAAAGTAAACACATTGTAGATGGTGTTTTTGAAAAAAAAATTCACGAACATTTTAAACCTATGCAGTATAAATGGATTGTACTGTAGAATGCTACTGTGCCACTTCCGATTCGTTTGGTTATCATGGGTCACATTATATATTGATTAGTAAATCTGAACTTGGTTAGTTTTTTAGGGAAAACACGTCAGAAACAATATTTATCTTCCGATCGTGTACCAAAACAAACATTCACGAGTCGTAATTGTTCTCTCGTTTTGGATATTTTGATGAGTCATATGACGCCCACATTTTGCGATGCTGTGCAGAATAATGTCTTGAGGTGCAAAATATAAACATTTTCATGTCTTTTTTTCATTGGTTATTAATAATATGTAATTCACTATCATAATATGCATAAATTCCTGTCATGAACAATAAATGTTTATGAATCTGAGTTTCTAATTGTTTCTCATCCAATCAGCAGCTTTGTGAGCGCAGATTATCAAGTTCCTGTTATTGTAAGTTTTCTCATAGCTGCAATGTGTTTCTGTCAACGCTATTCTCGTAACATTAATATTAGTCATAAGTACTATGTTAGCATTAACATTAGCAGAGATGCCAACACATATTTGAAGCAATCTGTAGTTTCTGGCCATCAAATTAGTAGTGTTCGTTTTTTTTCGATCACAGTGAAATTCGTAGTTTGATACAAACTGGTCGTAGTGGTGCAAAAGGAATCGAAATTCGTATAAAATACGGATAAATCGTAGTGGTTGGCATCTCTGCATTAGCCTCAACTTTACGACGTTTTTGGCAATGGTCCAGGAACTATCTTGTTTATTAAACGAGGTACAGTGGTACTATACTCATCAAATAAATGCAGGCGTTTGTCGGCATTCGCGCGAATAGTCGTTGCGAATGTAGCCGATTCCCTTGACGATTCAGACGCTTGCACTATTATCTATATATTGAATAGATATTACGACTTTATTGTTGGTAATGTCGCGCTGCTCATGAGTGACTTCAAAGCCAACATTTCATTTGTCTCGTTTGCCGTAGTCGCTGTTATGCGTAAACTCACTATGGAATTATCTACTCACTCTCTGATGAAACTGTCTAGGTTTTTACATATCGATCGCTGAGCTTGGTCAAGTAATATCTGAAAAGACAAGTACAGTTTAATTATCCTGTTAAAACCTGTTCCTTCACGTCATAAATTGTTTCCTTGTTTGCAATTATACAACCTATCTAACTAGGTATGTTTAACAGTAGTTTGACAGACCGTTTACGCTTGAACATATATTGTTATTACACAATATAAATGTATTCAAGCCAACTCATATTCCAAATCCGGATTCTCTGCATCAACTTCCTGAAATCGATCAACATTGGAAACAAAAACCCACTCAGCAAACACAGTGACACGTACACACACACGCACACACGCACGCACCCGCACCCGCACAAATACACACACGCACGCACGCACGCACACACACATGAGTGCACAAATGCAAACACGCACGCACGCACGCACGCACGCACGCACGCACGCACGCACGCACGCACGCACGAAATGAACCCGAATAACTTAACCGAGAGCTCAAATTCCACTGAGATTCCTTCGACTTGGAACAGTTTCAAAGTGACGCTACAACAACTGCACACACAACTTTCATGCATTGATCGACCTTCCTCCATCCACTAACCCGCCTTCACCTCACCCCCACCAACCATGCCAGCAAGCCAAAAACATCATCATCTGTACGTTCGAGCTGCTACAGCTTCTCCGCACACATGATGAGGAGCAGCTGTAACCATCCACGCTCATCGCGGATGCTCACTTGAAAATATCTCTCGACGCTCGCTGATACACTATATGTACACAGAACCACGCTGGCTTCAAGTTTCCACGCCATAAATAAATGACGCAACAACAAACTGCAGTTCCCTGAACTAACTGATCGGCCATGATAGCAGCAATAAAATCAGGGACTAGTTCCTAGGGTATCTTTACGTTACAATGTTTGCCTGCGGTGGTTGTGAGGGCATGCTATATTTATCACGATAGTGGATCATCCTTCTGATCAAGTGGCACACGACGCGCACGTGTGGCTCTGTATAAACACATCCGTGGTGATGGAATGCTGCCTGGGGCCCCTGGTGCCACAGCCAGTCAGAATACACAGATATGCCACAGCTGGCGTGCACAACTAGTGTACGCAGAGGCAGGAGACTATATCAGCAATAGACACTACTCTACAATCGAAGCAACCAAAAAAACACTCAGCACTGCAGCACGAAGCTCAGATGTTAACGACCTGACAGAGCTGGGGGAAATACGTAATGTAGGCAGTACTCGAATGAGGAATGGAAAAATCATACAATTGCATCACAATACTATGAAACAGTCTACACCAGAACAGTGTTGGATAGCAAAACCAGTGCACAATATTAAGAAACCAGACAGATTTCTATTTTCATGCCCACATTATTTTACTCCCCCATGCTGTATTTCTGCCTATGATAGACTGTCAATGTAACCCTACAGACGACAGTACTTAGCACAACTGCCTGCTGTGGGCAGTTTGATCAGGATATGTCATATAGTGCCCATCTATGTTACTAACACTCACGTTGAGAAAGTTCTGCAATTCCTCCAGAGACTGCACAGTTCTTCCAATCAACTCCTGCAAAATACGAATTGGTATCAGATTTTACATGTGTTACACACAAGCTCAGGTAGCCTCCACAGAAAACATGCTATGCTGTTTTAAGAAAAACTCGAGCCTTGTAAGTTGTACAGTTGTATTACATACAATGTTCGTCAGCACAGCATGACTGTGCGTTTCTGTGACTGTGACTGTGACATGACAGCGGTGATTATGACTGTTAACTTTCTATCGTTTTGGGTCATGCTCTGCTAACTGTAAACTTACTGTCAATCTTATCCCCCCCCCCCACTTGTCAACTCTATCTTGGTCAGTCTCCCTTTAACCTTCCTCTATGCAAACCCAAGTACAGATGTCCAAAGTGGGTTAGGTGGCATCCTCAACTCATTTCAATAACATTCTAGAGAAATAAATTCTAGGCTATTCACGTCTATACAGACTAACATCCTTCAGGATGCTTTCAAACCATTCCTGCCACAATACTTACCTAAACACATTTCCTTCCTACAAACAATAAGTTTCAGATCTGACAGAGCCAACACTTACCGAAACTTCATTATCAGCTGGCTTGAAGTAACCCGATAATTCTCGAACCTCTGTCACAAAGGACCTAAACAAAGTCGAAACAACATACAATAAGCACATGTATGACCCCGTCATTGAGTAAGGCTGAAACAACATACAATGAACACCCCCACCCCCAATAAGTCCATGTGTTCAACTCTCACACAGCAGTCATAGTAGTAGTAGGAGAGGGGGAAACAGTGAGGGATTGATTACACACACGCGGCAGGCAATGAAAGTACCCGCCTCTAAAAAGCCAGCCCGTCACGGAGCTGGAATGTACGCACTCTGATTTACGATGTGCCTCGCGCTTTTCGCGTGGAAAGTGGCCGTGAGACCACGTAGGAAGCAGCCCCACAAGCAAGTACATGAAGGTCATGCATCACCATGACTCAATCATGCTGGGGGGGAGGAGGGGGAGGAGGGGGAGGAGGGGGGAGGCGGTTAGACAGGAAGGTTACGTCACCTGTTTGCATTGTAGTAGATTTTGCCTGCATCCACCAACACCCGGCACTGTCGCACAACCTGTGAGCGAGAGAACAAACGACCAAGCTTATCAGGTTTGTTTTATGCTCCTAACGTAAACTAGCAAGTCATATTTAAAAAAAATAGAGGAGGGATGAGTTGCTGTGGACCAAACCGGATGAACATGATACAGGGAACCTCACACTGACTGATATTGCTTCAAACCCATGGAAAACACACGTGCCCTCAGCAACACATGCATCAGTAATCTGTCTGCCAGCTTCACGGATGCTACTGTACAAATAATAGCGCTGCCCAATGCGGCAGCAACGCGCAGCTTCCTCTGCACAAGCTCGTACCTTTACCGCACACGTATTGATTTTGTTCACTCTCTCTTACTCGCCTACTCTCTTCTTCTCTAATCTCTCTCTCATTCTCCCTTCCCCTTCTTTCCCACTTCCTACCCTGCTTTTTTTATTGATTTGCCGACTGTCTTTGTCTCTGTCTATCTGTCTCTCTCTCCCTCTCTTTCTGTGGGTGTCTTACTCTGCTTGTCTTGCCCTGTCTTAGAGGGAATGCATAGCCAAGAGCAAGTGGGTAACTCATGGGATTTATAGGTAATCAACCCCCCCCCAGTAGTTTGCTTCCAAATGAGTATGAGGAGATATTTCACTAAATAATAGCAAATCCCTGCATGGCATTGAGCAGGTGACAATTGGGTTGTAGTTTGATAGATCTACAAACTGGCAACTTTTTAAACGAGCCACTGACATTTTACCAATGAACAGTTCTCCCAAAAGTACTGACATGTAAACTATACTCAAACTTGAGAGAAGATATCATTTAGGTCCCGTGTGACACTGAGGTATGAGTTAGTGAACACTAATACATGTGGCATGCGCAAGACCACCTGGGCCTGTCAGTAAAGCAACAGGCTATGAATAGATACGCTGGATGGACATGCATCACTGTTCAAGCACAGTGTACTCACTCAATCAGCGCACCAAAAAATGCTCCAGGCTTTACATTGTTATTTGCAGTTTGAAAACGAGGCTTGGACTGCCCCCACAGGCAGCATATCTACCCTTAACCATTGCAGCTGTGGCAAATTGTGTGAGTTATTGACGCTGCATTAACAAGAGCATATACAATTTCTTATTAATTTATTCCGCACACGTTCCACGTAATTGTACTGTACCTTTTCTAACTTTAATTCAAGCTGATCTATATCCAACTCTGCCGATTCCAGATTGGCCCTGCAATAACAACCATGTTGGTCATGTCATACAATAATAAAACACTCATTAGTGGCAGTATTTTTTATACATCATGGCTGTAAAACAAATACATGGTGATTGGTGATACACATGGGAATATCGATGCCATGCTACCCTAGACGAAATTCCCAGGCAAAATTTGCAACTTGCAGTGCGTATCTGTCATAGTCTATATATCTGTTCTGCCCCATTTCACACAAACAGGCCAGATGCAGTAAACAGGCGACCATGGACATAAAGATATATTACTCAGGGTTAGCGTTAAGGAGAAAAATGCAATGTAGTGGATTCAAAAGCATTCACACTGTATATAAACAGTCCTTGTAGCCGGCAAACGTGCAAGGCTTACTGGTTATACATCTGGCAAATGAGGAAGACTAGGGAATGGGATGCACATGTTAGCAGGCTAGTGTCTTGTAACTCCAATATACACAGTGCACTATTTCAGGACTGAGGAAAGCCTTGCCACTGCACTAGGGTCAATGCAAATAAGCAAGAAGGAGAAGGCGTTGGTTGGTAATATGCCCCTAAAGCAAATACAGCTTCTAACTTTTATCCCAAGTTTGCTATTATGGTTTTAAAGAGCTACATATAAATTAATTACATCTCAGTGTATATAAAATATGTGATGTGATGACAATGTAGGTCTGGGCAATTTGCAAAAGTGATACGCTGTGCTAATGTTCTTACAAGGCTCCACTAACAAATCCATACATTCTGCTGCTTTCAAGGTTCAGTGAACTTTCCATAGATGATAGATTGAATACTGATTTTGAATGAACATAAAAGTTAACACCAGTAAATACTCTAGACAAACAATACAAGCAAAGGGGGTGGATGATGAAGTCTAGCTAGTAAATTTGTCCTCGATTGTCAAATATTTTTTATACTAGCCACTGACCACTGTGATTCTGTAACAATAAATTTATAATTTAATGTGAATATTTTTAACAACATAATATAATATTATATGGTTGAATATAATTATCGAATTGAGTTGCGATAAATCACATGTATTAGCAAGTTTTACACAAGTTTATCACAAGATGGATTGATACTAAAATAGCTCTAGATCTACCTATGTAGCCCTCGCTCTGTCAAAGGGCTACACAGAAAAGTATGACAGAAGCCTGGGGGGAAAGCCGAGTGCATGGTCACCAGCACTGCTGCTATTGAAATTGAAGTATAGTTGCTTATGTTGATTGTGCCATCGTTTTTAATAGCCTTTGTAATTCCCCATTGTAATAGGCTTGTGATTCCCCAAAATGGGTCAAAATTCCATCACAAAAAGGCCTGTAAAGTCATCACAGAGTTAAAATTTTTAATTCTATAAATGCTTTTGTTTCTCATGGCAGGGACTATCTAATATTAATAAGCCCAAAAAACCTATTTAAAACTATTTAGAAAAAAATCACCTACTATCCCTACTGGTATTACTATTACTATTACTTACTGGCCCATCAAACAACCGTACTGGCACTTATACCCCATACAGACTGCAAATTTGATACCACATCAAAACTCGTCCGGGCCAGGCGCGCATCAAATTTTTGCAGTGTGTACATGCTATCCCGCTCCAAATACGCGCTGGCCCGCTCCAATTTGGCCCCGCAAATGAAGGAGGGCCAAGCCTGGGATAACTTGGCCCATACCAAGTTAGCCCACTTGTCTGTGTGTGTACCCAATGTGGGGACAGGCGCAGGTCAGATTTCTATATACGCATGCGCATAGCCTTATTTAGGTCACATAACAGTACAGTAGCTGTCTGCAGTGTGACGTAACAACCTGAACTCAGCATGCACAGTCAACCCGTGCTAATTTGATATGGGATCAAATTGTGTGTCTGTATGCTACGATTTGGCGCGTGCTTGGTGCAAACTAGATTGATGTGGGATCAAACTTTGCAGTCTGTACTCGCTATTATTATTAATTTACAGGTCAGACTTGGAGATCGGCATCCAATAATGTAACTCAACACAAGTGGGTTAAAGGAACCAAACACGAGAGTATGGGGTACACCCTACTATTATTGTGTTGGGTTACATCATTGTATTTAATATTAATTATTATTAATAATAAGTAAGTAACCCAAACTGTTTACCAACCAGCGCCAACATTCACATTGACATTGCAACAAACAAACTAGCCCTACACTCTACAGTACAGTTACACTGTACACACTACACACTAACAGTAACACAGTCACAGGCTACACTTACCGAAATTTAGGAGAATCCTTTAGACAATCTTCAAAGTCAAGACTAGGAGGCATTTTAACGATGACCATTAACTTAGTATAACGAAGTGTTATTTTTTATCGGATCTTGGTTAGATAGAAAAATATCTCAGTTATTTGTATTTTACTTAGAGTAAGCATTCGGAACATCCTCCTACTTTAGGAAAATAGTGATACTATGCTCACTTGTTTGAAATTGTACCAAATGCGCCCCTGGTGGTTGGTAGCAGCATTGTCGCTGCAGCAATGAATCATGTGAATCATGGCGCTTGTTTTGTATTGAGTGTTTATGTCAGTGTGGTTTAACTTTCTCTTTTCTCGCTTAGATTAGAGTCTGCGAGGAAATATTTAGTCAAAAAATGCGCGAAATCCTCCTTTTATCTTCCGAGTATGTTATTCCGTGTGAAGTTTTGTTTATTTAAATGTTTTAGCATATTTTTAAACATGATAAATCTCCTTGCTGCAATGCTGCGAAACAGTATGTTATGGAAAGCATATGATTATATCAGAATCGTGTTTAGCGGTACCAAAAAAGAGGCAGTACCTGACCTTGTACTTTTGTACAAAAGTGATAACTTTTTCGTTGTGAACAAACCGTACGACATGCTTATCAATTCTGTTGATGAGACTAGAAAAGCAACTTTAGCCGACCTGCTGAGAGACAAATTACCACACATGATGGATCCCACGGTTACTTTTGGCTTTAGGTATGGCGTTTTATCAATAAGAGCACGAAAATGTGATGGTTAGTGTGTTACGTCATGCAAACACCCTACTTAATATAGTAAGCCACTTATGGACCTCAGCCGAACTTAATTTCCTGCAACAGTGGTGGGTTTAGTATTAGTAATAGTAGACCGACGTTAGGTCAAAGTTCACCCAGCACTCGCCACAGTGGAAGCATCATGCATCACATGAACAAACGGCAAAAACTCATGCTGCTGCTTTTAAATAACGCTGTGGCTATATGCCCGGCAGCCGGGCACGGTCTTTGATTTCCCAAATGCCCGGCAGTTCCTAACCCTAACCCTAACCCTTGTTTACTTGAGATAATGCTGTGAATTAAAAATTGCCGGGCATTTGGGAAATCGAAGACCGTGCCCGGCAGCCGTCAGATATATGCCGGCTACCAGGCATATAGCCACTCTGTTTAAATAACAGGCTGCAAAAACTCTCTAGGCATAAGGATAATCCGATAAGATAATAAAGTAAAATATACGCAGAAAATTATCATGTACTGTACGAACTGTGTCTAGCTTGCCACAGCTTGCACGCTTTGGTTAGACTGGTTCGCGGCCCCATTGTTTACAATAAATTGAAGCCTTCCCACTTCTGCACGAAGTGTGACATAAGTGAAATGTAAAGGTGACATCACCACACGGGTGATCAAAAGTATCTTCTGTGTAGATAAAAAATGTTTAGCTACACTTATATGGCACCATACTCGCATGCTAGACTTATTGATAGAATGTCAGATTCCAATGGTGACCATTATTATTATGTGATTGAAAATAGGAGATTTGGGGATATTTTTAGGGACAACCAGAAATTGTTGCGGACAACCTGATTTGATGTCTGGGTTGTCCGCAGGACAACCAGATTTTTTTTCTTATTTTAAGCACTGCTGATACTGTCTCTTTTGTGTTATTATTTTTACTTTTAGGTTTGTTCATCGACTTGATTATTCTACAAGTGGCGCCATCTGTCTTGCATTTACAAAGGATGCTGCTGCAGCTGGTATGCGTGCTCTTGTGGGATACCATGCAAAGAAGTTTTATCTGGCTTTGGTAGGTGAAAATACTACTCACTAAATAATGATCCAACATTGTTTAATAAGCATACAGATTTAAAGGGATGAAAGAAATTATTGATGTAGTTTATTTATAGTTATGGATATATATATATATATTTATAGTTAGATTGATAGTTATGGATTCCAATTAGAAATGACAATGTAAAATGTGTTATGACGGATGTAATTACTGTTTATGCTATAGCTATTCTATGATTGAGATTCCAACTTTACGAGTTTCCATTCGTATAGCTCAGGGGTCATATTCAACAAGACATGGTTCACATTGAGAAGCCCATAGGCGGTTGCACCGCTGAGTTGGACATACATAAGATGTGCACTTCCGACAGCCCATTGTGTAAGAAACCAAGATATGCACTCACACATCTGGCTGTCTTAGAGAGAGGAGAGTATGATGGAGAGCCCGCAACGAAAGTCTTGGTGAAACTTCACACAGGTGATTAATATTGTACCCAAATATGTTGCGTTAAAGTAAATCATTCGTGAAAGTCTATTTACTTATTATATTTTATGACATATAAGTCACACAGGCATATAAGGTGCACTCCCATTTCAGAAGAAAACATTTAGGGAGAAAGTTTTTAGTGTATATAAGCATTTCATGTTTACTGAAATGTGTATAGCAGAAAAAGGTTTTTTATTGCTTGAAAGATCTATTCTCAAATGAATTTAACATGCAGGTAGGATAGCAGGAAAATGATTTTTAGTGTTACTTTAGTTAATGTTAGTTTAGTTGATAACAGACAAAGTCTTTCCATTACATGAAGGATTACTTGTGCCAGACAGTAATAAATTCTAATGCATTTTATGTTTTAACATTCTAATAGAAATCCAACATGAAGTTTGTTAGAGATTATGAGACTGCAACTCACTTATTCACAGGAAACAATTGTGAATTCTTTATACAATATGATAGAGCAATGAAATATTGGCACTGTCATATTTGAAATACCATCACGAGCGTATAAAGAAGGAGAGCGTACAACGGTGAAATGCTGAAACCATGTCGCAGTATTAGTTGAATTAAGAAACTTTGCCCGTTTTATTTTGACGATTCTTTGCGGTATTATTGATCAGCTGTCCTACCTTGCTATTATAAAACAAACCGCTTGTCCCTACGATGCCCCTACCTTGAGATAATGAGCGGCGAAAATCGGGTATTTTTGCCGAAATCCGACTCAAGATCCCTGTTTGCTGCGACCCTCTCTCGCTTTGTGGCCAGTATGTTGCTTCCGGTCGCCGCTGTGTAGCGCCATGGTAGCGCTGACTCATTACGTCAGTACTACAGAGTTTACTACATCCAGCGTGAGGTGGGCACAGGTGGGGGTCATCACTATGGCAATCAATAACAGACGTCATTTATTCCATTTGTCAATCATTGACGGAAACATGCGAGGTTTCCCGAAGTTATCTCAAAGCGAGAGACAGTCGCAGTCAGCAGGTATCTCGAGTGGGTTTTCGGCAAAAATACCAGATTTTCACCGCTCATTATCTCAGCGTAGGGGCATCGTAGGGACATGTGGTTTGTTTTATATTAACAAGATAGGACAGCTGATCAATAATACTGCAAAGAATCGTCAAAATAAAATGGGCAAAGTTTCTTAATTCGACTAATACTGCAACATGGTTTCAGCATTTCACCGTTGTACGCTCTCCTTCTTTATATGTTCTTGATACCATATATGAATACCATATTGAAACCATATTCACACAGAATTAATTGCTTCTCTCCCCACAGGGCGGCGCCACCAGATTCGTGTGCACTGTGATCACATTGGCTACCGCGTCGTCGGCGATTACACATACAGCAATCGCACAGACACGACGCCATTCCGCATGATGCTGCACTCGCATCGTCTGAGTATTGCCATGGCGATGGGAGAGACAGTCGAAGCAGTCGCCCCAGACCCGTTCACCAGTGAGGACGTGGGCTGCCAGTGGCGATCCACCGAGCATGTGTGCAGTATCGACGATGCGATGCAGAAACTCAATGAGGTGAAGCGCTACTCACCGGAGCAAACGTGACCCTGGCAGTATGTTTTGGTGAAGGTCGTGTAAGAAGGTCACACGGGTAAGGTAGACAGGACAGTCAACGACGTGGGTGGGGTAAACAGTAAACACATCCCTCAATCCGCCCTCGCTCGTTTCTGTTGTGCAGGTTCAACTCCGCTTAATTGATTGTATTATATTTTAAAATTAAGTTTTGAGTTCTTAGATGCCTTATTCATCTTTGTTTGAGTTCTTAGATGCCTTATTCATCTTTGTTTGAGTTCTTAGATGCCTTATTAATCATTGGTTTGGTTTGCCTGCATTGAACTTTTGTACATATGACTGGGCCATATCCATAATTTTTCCATCACCCAAACCGCCCTTGCCCGTAAAAGACATTTTCCAAGTTCTCTTTTCACCATTTCAAATCGAATAGATAACGTAAGTGTAATGATGGCCATTCTAAACGCAAGGCACAATTTTAAAATATAATACAGTCAATTAAACGAAGTTTAACCATAGTTTAACCTGCACACTGTAAACAACCGAGGGCGGTTTGAGGGATGGAAACGAGTGTTTACCGGGGTAAACGGGACAGTCAAGGAAGGGGGGATAAACGGGACAGTCAAGAAAGGGGGATAAACAGGACAGTCAACGACATGGATTGGATAAACGGGACAGTCAAGAAAGGGGGATGAGTGGGACAGTCAAGGAAGGGGGATAAACAGGACAGTCAACGAAGTGGATTGGATAAACGGGACAGTCAAGAAAGGGGGATAAATGGGACAGCCAAGAAAGGGGGATAAACGGGACAGTCAAGGAAGGGGGGATAAATGGGACAGCTGATGGTGATATATGATCATGAGCTTTTGATTGATATATGTACTGTGAAATGATACGTCTTTCTTCGCTCATATATCTTTCCATGTTATACTCGATCTTACACGTTTCACGTCTCTACATAACCATGTGTTTTTCTAACCGAAAGAAACAGTTGTTACGTTTTGAACATTTAACATTTCATGACCAAGTTCATAAGTGAATGTCACACTGAATTCGCGTTATGCTACGCAGGCATATCGTCACATTGCGTCATAAATTTAATGTCAAAACCACAAAAGTTCTCAGACGAGAACATGGTCATATAGTAGATGCCACTACAGTTGTTACACGCACGCACGTAGAGTATTAAATCTCTGGTTGTCTTCCTGCCGAATGCTCTCCTTCCTGTTTGATCTCAGCAGCTTCAAACCTAGCAGCTGGAGCAGAAGATCGGCGAAGTTTTCACATGTCAGCCACAGGGTGGGGTCGTTAGCTGCCGACCCGATAACTTCTTTTGCCCCCATAGTGTCGAGCAAATACTGTAAAATCGAACATAGGCTTCGTGTCAATATGTGTGGTGCAAAAAAAAACAGATGAAATAATAATATAATAGTAATAAATATGTTGTTAAATTGTACAAATTCTGCGTTGCGACTTTGTGTAGTTGTGACAACGTTTTACTGTCTGTATACGCACGTACAGACCGACAGACGCGGACACGCATACGCACGCGCAAATGCCCACATGTGTATGCAAGTATTATTACATTATATTGCAAACTATATTGCAGTACCTGCAAGCCAAAAACATTGCCGGCAACAATGACTGATATAGCGTAGAAGCTCCACTGTCTCAGACTTGGACAGAGAATATTGTCACCAAAACGAAGCAGCATGTCCAGACCACCCATGACCCTCACTTTGTCCTGTCAACAACGAACAACAAGGGACGTGGCTTGAGAGAATTAGAAAAAAGGACTCTGTAAACAATATCAAATGCCGCCTTCCACAAAATAGTAATTACGTGTCCTGAAAGGCAACGACAGTGCTTCAGCATCTAACCAAGCGAACAATTCAATAAATATAGAGTTACATTTGTCACGTATTGAATAACAGCCTGAATAAATTAAAAGATAAATTCAATACAGGTAAAAGTACTCGGAGATCATGCCTCTCACAATTAACAGAGTAACAACTCCTTGCTCATAACAGTTTTGAAATACTTTGTAGGTATAAGTACGTTTCAAGTGAACCAATGCCTTGTAAGGCGTACCTGATGAGCTTTGTTACTGTAACAAATCTCGGCCAGCGTCTTGACTACCTGTAGTCGGTAGAAAAGCGGTGCGGAGTCCTTGGTTTTCACCAGCAAGAGGATAGTCTCAGCTGCCGCTTTGTCTGCTTCCGGAGCACCTACCCAAGGGCGAGCCGGATATCGGTCACTTTCTCGATTCTTACAGCTTGTTAATTGCAATCACAACTGAAACTTTATAATAACCCCATAACCTCATAAATATTAGTCTTCAACGTCAAAGGGACTATATCTAGGACGGAAAAAGGCAAAGTTGATCAAATAGACAGATCAACACTGCAGATCACAGTAAAAAAGTATAATTTGCAATTAACTGAAGAGGAGGGGAGAGAATTCCAATGCAGAATGACAGAAACAATGAATCTATAGAAGGATCATTTGAAGATGGTAAATGTTGAAAACAATGATCATGCTCAGATGATCGATTGCTACGAACAGGCTTCATCAAGCAAGAGGGAATGCCAATCGTCACCGAACCATGATAAATTTTATGAAAGGTTATACGTTTAGCATTGAGAAAGCAGACACGAAGAGGAGGCCAATCAAGTTGAGCCAAAACAACTTCAGAACTATCTTGATAGTTTCTAGAAATATAGTAGCAACCGAAACCAATGCATATTCCGTAGAATATAACCTGCATCGTGTGAGGATTAATATATATATATATATATATATATAGACAATGGTTTCTGATATGGTGAGCCCGTACCGGTAAACGCGTGGTGGCCGATGTGCTTAGCTGCCGCGGCCCTCACCTCGTATGTTGCCCCGTCGTCTCCTAATAGAATTGCGGCTCGTGAGATTTCCCGCCGGTATAGATTTGTGTCGCTCTCGTCAACGCTGTCGAATGTATCGGATTTGCGACTAAACAGCGAGAAGTTGGTGACGTTCACCGCCTTTCTAACAGAGCTGAGCACTTGCGCGTACATAATGAAGTTTTTGGACAGCTCGCGCAGTAGAGAAAGTCGGATCAGGCCTGTCTGCCAGGGACTGAATAGCTGAGCATAGTGATCGCACGTGACGTCTATAGAGCATCACTGATGATGTCAAAAGAATGGAAACAATGCCAAGTTGAGGTAAACATGTTGATTGTGATTACGCATTGTTTAATGTTTGTCGTGGTAACGCGTTTCGTGTAAGATTACGTTGCATCGAAAGGAATTTTTTTGTTCCCTTTCTCCAAAGTTTATTTAAATGCGATAACCAGAGAATATTTGATGAAAATGCTAGGTGGGAACGACACTATTTATGCATATTTTTAAGCGCGCACAAACACTAAACTAGACATGAGTGTAGTGCCAACAAAAACGGAAACGACAGGTTTGTGTTCGTGCGTGACATATCTAGATATAATTATTTCAATCAAATTATTAGACGCATTTATAATTTCCCTTGACGACAACGTCTAGATATAGTAGACAAGTATGTAGATCTATGCAGTATACAGACATGTTCATAGTATTATCGTACCCGTAATTGTGCTGATCAATACACCAACTTCGAAATGTTCATTTTTCAAAGGATCCCTTTAGGTTTAGCTACATCGTTTCTGTCATTCCATATTGGAATTCCATTCATTCTTCTCTGGATAATTGTAGAATTGAAGCCTTTTCTACTGCAATTTGTAGTGTTGCTCTGTCTATTTGATAAACTGTGTCTCTCTCCGTCTTAATTCGATATAGTCCCTTAGATTTCGAAGTCTAATTATTATGGGGTTATGAAGTAACAAGTTTATTCTTGGCAGATGCTGGGCAGTGCGATTTCGTGCTCATAGAGCATTCCGAATGCCTCCGTAACGTGGAAGCCTCGGTACAGGCCGAGCTAGCGCTCTTCCGCCGCGAGATGGAGACTATGCAGGAGAAACTTCGCCTGGTAAACACCCATCCCCCCACCCCTTCAACCCCTCTGCCGTATCCGCGTCAAGTGTACATTATTTTACAGTTCCGTTAGTTAAATGTTGATACGTGTATTTATTTTCTACAGTGCATCCACCACTATGCTGGCTCCGCTAATCCTCTCCCGCTGGGCTCTCTCCTCTTTTGCTCTCTCGCTCTCTCTCTCTCTCTCTCTCTCTCTCTCTCTCTCTCTCTCTCTCTCTCTCTCTCTTTCTCCCGCTGGGCTCTCTCCTCTTTCGCTCTCTCTCTCTCTCTCTCTCTCTCTCTCTCTCTCTCTCTCTCTCTCTCTCTCTCTCTCTCTCTCGCTCTCTCGCTCTCTCTCATTCGCTTTAATTCCATTCTCCGTGGCATCTCTACTCTCTTCATGTCTCTCTCACTCTACGTCACTCTCATTCCCATCATTTCTCTGCCATCCCGCGTTTCAGGCTAGGAGAAGCGTGCGACAACACGATCAATACGCGCGGGTGTCTTCCAGCTTTGCAACCACCGTACTTCCGGCTTTTGCCGCTTTCATGGTCTGTTTCATATCCGACTCTCTCGAATGGCATTCCACAGCTAAGGCGAGTAAAATGTTTTTATTTCCAAATCATACATACATGCATATTGAACATACACTCGTTTAAATCACAGTAAATAGATAATGCAGCGTATAGAACGGTTGATGTTTAGTTACGCATTCCAAATTATACATAATATGCATTATACATTACGAAAATGATACCTATACGAAAAATCATTGCCTCCTTGAGTCCTTTTCGTCGCACTTCGTTCGTGGAATTTTGATGTTTCAAACTACTTTATAACAATCGAGAACGTTCCATTTATGGAAATATGTTTGGAGTAAATCCTTGCTTGGCGCACACGGCTGTAAATGGGCAGTAGTTTGGGAGAGAGATGTACGGTTATACATACACGCATAACACGCGCGCGCGCCCGCACACATTAGAAAGAATGCACATACGCACTCGCGCATGGACGCGCACGCACTAAATCATATGGAAACACAGACGTTTACGCGCACACGCTTATGCATGTACACACACACGCGCGCGCGCGCACGCACACGCACACACACGCACGCACGCGCTCGCGCACGCACGCACGCACGCACGCGCGCGCACACACACACACACACACACACACACACACACACACACACACACACAATGCTGCAGTGACAATTTACTCGTAATACACTTTTTTTTTACATATTCGCGTTTACACAATTTACTCGTAACACGCTTATAAATTATTTCTCCCAATAGATGGCGTAACGATGTCATATTTGACAGTGCTATAGCTAGAGGTACATCTCTGTTGCGCTCACATTTGATAAAGAAAAATGTCGATAGATATACGATTTCCGCTATTAATTTTCCTACTTTTTGTTCTTCCAGGAAGCTTCGGATGTAATCGTTAGTCTCCTGGTTGGACTTTCCGTGTGTGTTGGCTTGCCAAATTATGTTTTCGCCATATTTGAAATGCAGTTTCTTCTCAGCGGTGAAAATATCGATGTCACCAACACCAGGGAACCGCAGGTCGTGATCCCACCAGTAGAGATAGCAGATAGAACCCCGGAGCTGAGTCATGGCAGTGGTATATATTATATATAATATCAAGAGATAATAATATCAGCTTATATATCCTATGTTCCTGTTTATTAATATCAAGAGTAAGTAACAGCGATGCTGCTATGCGTTTAATTAAGTGTGTGCATATAGGTGGATCGTGCGTGCGTGCACGCTAAATTTGCAAGCACTCATGTTTATCTTTATGAGATTATTCCTTATTTCCCGCCCACTACACATGTACGTAAAGATCAGATCAGATCCAGATTAGAGACCGGATACCAGAGAAGCGTCGCGTGTGTGCACTCTTACGATACGATCGCAGCGTTTCACGAACGTGGAACTATATGTCACTACACGATCATCGTTATCGTCATTCTTTCGCTATCACCATTATGATTATGATCCCCCAAAAAATCTTTTTGTCACGCGCAGGTTCTACCGGAAACGTGTCGTCGTTGACGGCATGTGGCGCCACTGATACTTCTGATAATGACGAGAGTGATGCGAGAGTGGAAGCGGATCCTGCAGACGGTGGCCAGCCGCCCGAAGAGTAGTGTGACCATAAACTAAGATATTCTTGATCTATGGATTGACCTAGCAAATTTACATCACCACGACATATGTGGAACATATCAAACATCACCGAAGAGCACGAGCAATTATAATAAAATTTAGAGCATTGGATAGTCCTATTGAATTTGGCGCAGCATATTAAATTTGTTAAAGTAATAGAAAAAGTTCTTAAAATAAACGAGTTAAATGAAACCAAAAATTAAGGTCGTTTAATAATTATGCTCGACGCACTATACAAAATATCAGGAGCGTATAATGACAAACGTAATTGTCATAATGACAACGTATAATAATAACAGCGTATAATGACAACGTATTTGTCATTATACGCTCCTGAAAATATCAATGCATCGATGCGTAGCATACAGCCAGCCCAGTAATGAATGCACGGACAAGCGCGTAGCCAAGGGGGGGTCTGGGGGCCCTAGGACCCCCCCAATCAAAATCAAAATCCAAAAAAAATTCAAACATTAAAAAAAAAGTCGTAATAGAGCTGCAGAAGAAATAGTATTGTCAACAAAACAGCGTCTAAATTGATTTTAAAGCACTATTTTTACATTTAACTCAATAAAAAAATTTCAGACCACCAGACCCCCAGACCCCCTTGTTACTCGCTCGAGGACCCCCCCCCCCCAATCCAAATCCCTTGCTACGCCCTTGTGCACGGAAGCGGTAAAGTTAGTGACCATATATCTCCTTCAATTCCATAATTTCCATTATGAAAATGAACGTATGAATTAAGTGAACTTTCCGAACTCTCCGTAACGAACTCGCTACGTGGAATGTAACATTCATAGTCGTGATAATTACATCCTCAAAATAAAATGCGTCTTTTTGTTCATAGTTTACGTTTATAGTTTATGGCTTGTGTAACATCGAGGTAATGCACTAACATTTTAACGTGACAGTGTGTGTGCACATGTTTATAGCGTCATATTTTATTCAGATTAAGATTTTAATTTTCGTATCACATATAAATTTTTACCCAGTTTTTTTACCTGAAAAAATACGTAAAATATTGCTGCTCTATACTGTATACACATCAAGAGTAGATCTCCTATTATCTACTCTTGATACACATATCATATCGTAAATGTTAATAAACGGGCAAAAATACTGACGTGTCAGCTTGTCTTTACTCTAAGTGTTTTTTGTCACGTTAGCATGTTTCATCGAGAATCGTGAGCAGCGAAGCGTGACACGTGTGTAGACTTTCTCTGATATCGCACGTTTTCACCTTGGTTTTCACGTGCACGCTCACGCGATAACAACAGTGTGACTCATCGCGCGTTGCTGTGGCGTGATGCTGGACGCGGCGCGCTATTGTGATTGGCTGATCATAACACGCGTTTTCACCGCGCGCCACTAGAACGCGTGCATCGATTCCCTACCGCAAACAAATTCACTGTTTTCTCAAGACGCCAGATACGAGCACGAGCTACTACAAAACCAGCCGGTCTTTGCGTTTTATTCCAAAACGGCGCAGGTGAGCCATTCGACCGCTTACTACGAGGAGCATAAACACTGCGCTGGAAGTATATCCACGGGACATTTCTCAGAGATAAACAAGTAAGCGTGACATTATAGTTGTACATGTATTGATTTATTCTGTCTCCGTGCGTTCTTGCCGCGTTTTTATCAGTGGGGCAAACGTACGTTGGTGTTTTTTGAATCGCGGTTATTACTATTTCGTTAAAATATAATATATCACATGCTATACCTTATAATATTAAGCTACAAACTTGTCTCTACCTAAATGAAGGCAGGCGTTCACACCCAAATTATTCATATTCATTATAAATATTCCTAGGGTCTTAACTGCCCGCGTGCGGTGCACTATAGCCTAGGCTAGCTAGTCGTATGCCATAATATTATAGATTATTAGATATTATCAGGAGTAGATAATAGAAGACGTCTATTATCTACTCCTGACATCCTACTCCTGACTCCTGATATTATGTACACTTATACTACTGTAAGGTGTATACCGTCACCTATGAGTCGAAGCCATTCTACGGGATTCTACAGGATTCACATACGTCATACCTACAGGCTTCGACCCAGGATTCACGGCAAGCCAGGCAAGGCCACGGCTGCCAGCGTATATAAGGACCGCCTGGGATAGACTGTGTAAGGATCAACCCTTACATTTCGACTGCGCCAAAATGTAAGGGTTGATCCTTACACGGTCGGTTCTCCTGGTCGTCTGGTAGAATGAAGCACTCCGAGTCGATCCCAGGCGGTCCTTATATACGCTGGCAGCCGTGAATCCCGGGTCAAAGCCTGTATGTGAATCCTGTAGAATCCCGTAGAATGGCTTCGACTCGTAGGTGACGATATAGACACCTTACACTACTACTAGGTTCGAAATGACTGCGTCCCTGTTTATACATTCATACGGTTACAACAGAATTGAGTATATATATATAGAGATACATTTCAGCTAAATGTATAGTATGCATTTTCTGTAATGTAGGCCTATATATAGGCTATACAGTGTTGTTTTGGGTTAATAATGTAATTTTATGTTTGCAGCACTAAATTTTCACTCGGCTGGAAAGTATTGATTTGTGTATGTTCGTATAAACAGTATTGTACAAACAGTATCTCTGTTTGTAAAAGGTTTTTATGTTGCACTAGCGTGATACCCGGCGTTGCCCAGTGAAATCAGTGAACATCATCCATCCATGCATGCATCAATCCATCCCATCCCATCCCATCCTAGCTCTAGTACTATATAGCCCACGTTCATTAACTGCCTAATCCCATCCCATCGCACCGCATCCCATCCCATCTCATCGCATCGCATATGCCATGCCTAGATACAATAATGTAACACAAACACAGGATAGGGTTACAACGTGAGCCTATCCTTTTGTGTGGAGGAACCCCTGGTGCTTTGCTGGTGCGTTTTCAGAGACTATAACTTCCAATTAAACTGGGTTTATTCTCAACACGAACCTTTCTCCGCTATCCTGGAACTTACTATGTATCACAATACTCTGTATTAAACTAATATAACGTGTTATAAAAATTCGAAGCGACGAGCGGCGATTCTTCTAGCGCCATTTCTGTTGACCTGTGACGTACGCATTCCCAATGCGTATAGCGTTCGGCTAACTTCGACTCCAAGATCGAATGTATCATTGGATGCCTGCTGTCAGTCGTGACGTCATGACGAAGTTAGCCGAACGCTATGCGTATTGGGAATGTGTACGTCACAGGTCAACAGAAATGGCGCTGGAAGAATCGCCGCTCGTCGCTTCGAATTTTTGTAACACGTTATATTAGTTTAATACAGAGTATTTTGATACATAGTAAGTTCCAGGATAGCGGAGAAAGGTTCGTGTTGAGAATAAACCCAGTTTGGAAGTTATAGTCTCTGAAAACGCACCAGCAAACCGCCCTGAGTGATTCACTCAGGGGTTCCTCCACAAAAAAGGATAAGCTCGCGTTGTAACCCTATCCTGTGTTTGGGTTACATTATTGTATCTAATGCCATGCCATCCCATCCCATCCCATCCCATCACATGCCATCCCATCCCAAACAGTAAAAAATAATAAGAAATCAAAAGATAAGACATTAAAAATAATTAATAAATTAAAAATATAATAACCAAATAAATTAAAAAATTTAAAATAATACATACTAAAGAGGTAGGTAAAGGGAAAAAAGGAAAAAAGGGGAAAATAAGTTTCCCCGCTGGGAGTCGAACCCGGAATCCCGGTGTAGGAGACGGATGTTCTAGCGATTATGCCACTGCACCGTTAAGGATACTCTCCACGTTGTGCACGGGTATTGCTCTAGTGAAGATTAAACGTTCATTGTGCGAATGAATCCGAATCAATCACTTGTTTTTTATTTATAAGAGGAGAATATCTCTATGCCTCAAAGCCAAAAAAAGTGTGAAATTTCCAGCACTAATTATGTTACCACAAAAATTTTGCCCAATTTTATGTAAAAAGGTATTTAAATATTTCTCATCTACCAGAAAGAGTGAGGATACAAAATTTTTGCCACATGTTAAGCACAATATGGACCAAAATAGGAGCGTCAGGATTTTCTTTAATTTTACATATTTACTGAGAAAACTTCGGAAAAAACTGCTTAAAATCAAGTTGTGTGTTAAAAATGGAAAATTTAGCAAATAAAGAGGCATAACTAATATAAAGTACGGCACTTAATGACAATCCCTGACCGCTTTTTTACCACAAAATGTTACCATTAAAAACGAGTGTAAATTAATTAATCCGAGTTGTAATCACAGAGAAATATCCATTTATACATCCGGCTACTATGTCAGAAATCGAAACGGAGAAATGAGGTTTTCTTATTTTTCACAATGATGACCGCCTGTCGTGCAAAATGGGTGAACGGTATATGATATATCTATTGTGAGTACTTACTCGCGACATATCCATGACTAACTGAACACCACTAAATTGGTAAAATGTTCCATGCACCTTGAGAAATACTGAGAAATTACGAGGTTACCATCGCAGAACGCGCGAACTGCGCTCATCCTGACGTCACAATATCAACAAACGCGCGCCTTGTACCGGCCGCACTACAGTAACTGAGTAAGGTGTGTTGCGAGGTGCTAGAACTATTTTGGGCGTGGGATACTTGTTGGATTACTAGCAGATGAACATGAATGAATGTTCATGAATACATGTAATGACAGCTGTATAGCAGGGTTGCCCGGGTAAATCAGTGGCGTTACTCAGTTGGTGACCGCATGGTTGAAAGGAAAATACCCCAAAAAATCAAACTATATCTATCTATCCATGCATCCATCTATCCATCGCATTCCATGCCATGCCATCCCATCCCATCCCATCGCACCACGTACATCCCATCCCATCGCACCACGTACATCCGCATCCATCCGCATGCCATCCCATCCATCGAATGCCATATCTCATCGCATCCCAGGCCATGCCATGCCATCCCATCCCATCCCATCGCACCACGTACATCCCATCCCATCCCATGCCATCCCATCCAGAATGCCATATTCATCGCATCCCAGCCATGCCATGCCATCCCATCCCATCCCATCGCCACCGCAATCCCATCCTATCCCATGCCATCTCATCCATCCCATCGCATGCCTCATCCCATCCCATCCACCATCCCATCCAAACAATAAAAAATAATAAGAAACAAAAGATAAAAGTCATTAAAATATAAAAAGTCTAAAATTATAAATAATAAAATGAATTATATAGAAAATATAATAATATTGATATGTAACCTACATAGTCTCGTGAAGGTGTTCCCGGTCAGTTTGCCGCTATTCATTATCACTAACCATAGTTTATTCTGGATATTTACCAAGACGTTTAAATGGCTAAAAAAAATTAAAATTTTGAAATTAACGGTGAATACGGCAGAAGTACGTACTAAACTAACAGTCCAAAAGTAAAGAAACAAAGCATTTCCCCAGGTGGGATTTGAACCCAGAATCAATGGTTTAGGAGTCCGATGCTTTATCCATTCGGCTACTGTGCCGTTATGGTTATATACACCATGGATTCAGACATACGTGATGTATAATGTTAATCTGTATGCCATCTATTGATGAATAGAATTTTTATAAATTTTTAACTTTTTAACTTTTTTGAATATTCTGAAAATATATTTAGTTTTCCTCTAGGCTGCGGAGTTCTCTAGTTATTCGCGAACACACACATTCCGCTGAACAACTTTAGATATGCGCAAACACACAAATTCGGCTGAACAACTTTATATATATAGATACTGGCTGTATATTCTAGACGCACATGTATATATCTATTATGCACGTGTATGTACGCGTGCATGCATGTGCGCCTTTGTGATGGGATCGCGTGTGTGCGCATTGGGTACGTGTTTATTGTACATGCACGTACTGTGACAAAAAAGATATCAGGTAGCCATGAAAAGTGAAAGTGAAGAGATTATAGTGCCACTGTGTAAACAGTGATTTGGTTGTTTGAATAACCAATATAGATACACAGTATTATATACCCCTATATACATAAAGGCTGAGGTGGGCCGGCCGGCGCATGATATTCATACACGATTTATATGATATGAGGATGTCACGACAGATAAGATTGGGCTATTAGTATTAGTCTAAATATATGACCTGCAAGTGTTGTATTTATCTCATAACGTAGAAAATAGCATGTAAACAGTAAAGTTACTGATTGGCAATGATATATTTGCAACATAGGGGTTGCTGCGCTCATTTAAGTTTCATGTTCAGCACACAGACATTGATCGTGACGTGCTATTTTGGCACGTGCATATATATCCCATCAAGAGCGTATAAAGAAGGATACGCTGATCCCACGCTTGCTGATACGCTTGATCCCATGTAAATATACTTCTCCCACTGCTATACCCCAGTAGCTGCAAAGCTGTGTTTTGGAGCTCCATTGAGTGATCTTCATTTTTAATTTGTGACAGTCATTGGCTGCATGCATGGCCATTCAGCTGTTTGCAATATAATAAGGAAAAGGAAATGGCGATGTAGCATATACGTATAGCCATTGGGTCGAAACCTAAATGCTCTGAGTAATCAGGGGCGTGTACAGGATTTGTACCAGGGGGAGCAGGGTTCTCCACGCTTTTTCATTATAGCATGGGGGTGCTGCTTTTACGGTCCTATAGTTGCAAATCGCCGAAGGCGGTTTGCGTGCTAGGGGGGTCCGGGGGCATGCCCCCCCGGAAAATGTTTGCATGGCGGCTATGATATTTAGAGTGGCGGGTGCATTTTAGGATGGTGGGGCTCGGCGATAGCTGATAGATGATTAGTCCCTAGGGAGGTCTAACTGTAAGCCAAACCTGCGAGCACGCGAAGGGGGGATGTCTGGGGCCCTCCCCCAAATTTTTTTTGAAATTAGACCCTCAGATGCGTTTTCTGCGCGAGCAGGGTGTGGTCCGGACCCCATGGACCCTCCCCCTGTACACGCCCCTGGTAATTAGTTGAAATTTCCAAATGTATCTCTAAACTTTCAAGAAATAGCAGCAATGCTGTGGCAAGTAAATTTCTTACTTGTCTTAGATTTGAATTCTTACATTTGAAGATCTTTTAATAAGAAAACAGCGTCATGTTAAACTTGGTTTCTACACATTTTTTAGATTTAAACGGATATATGCCAGGGTTTCTTAATTATTCTGAGGGAAAATTAGACAAAGGAGTTATATAATAGCCAGTTTTGGGAAAAAACACACATGATGGATTCAAATACAGGATATACTGTATAGGTATATATAGATACAGGATATACTTATCAGTAAATACAGGAACATTTTCACAACGGCGATGTAAAATTTGACAATGGTGGTGCGCCACTGTGCCTCCTATGTATAAGAAATCCTGATAAGCTGTACACGATTCATCGAAATATGAAAACACCTTGCATAATTCCTGTATGCATGCCCACAGTCACTGAATACCCGCAGTACGTGTTTGTTTGATAACATGCATACTCGATTTTAATTGCTCGTAAACATGATTTAAAATGAAACTGCTGATAATTCCATGCAATAATTATGCAGAGATTCACGGAAGCTGGTCATACGTCTGAAACAAAATGCCAGCATACTCGATCCTGGAACCCATTAGCTCCATTGCTCATGATGGGCTCCATGGAAACACGCCAGTCGTGACGATACCAGCAGATGCCACGCTCGACCAGGATCATGTTGAGGTAATCGTGCATAGCATTGTCATCATAAAATCTTTTATGAAAATGAAATAGTTAAAATAATAACTAAAAAAATTTCACTTCCAGTATTTAATTTTAAATCAGCATTGCATTAAATTATAATTATTTAGTCATTGACAAAATTTTAGCTATCAAAATGTAGATTCTGTGCTTCACAATCCATCATTTAGACTTTTCTTCGGTTACAAAGTGAACCGTTCTTGTTTTTGCCATTGAATCAGAGAGCCGACGACGTCATTGTTGCCGGCATTTCCTGTCGTCTGCCAGAGGCGGATAGCATGGCGGAGTTCAGACACAACCTGTTTGCTGGAGTTGACATGAGTACTGACGACGGCCGGAGATGGGAGGCAGGTGAGCTGGCTGCTGCTGCAGCATGTAGCGCGGGTTCACTGACAGGGTATGATACACGCAGCTTGATGAATTGAGAGCATTTAATGACGGCGAGTAAATCTGGATGACGGTGTAAATTGTTTAGGTTTGTACGGATTGCCGAGACGGAGTGCAAAACTGAAAGACATTAGCAAGTTTGATGCGGCCTTCTTTGGGATTAGTCCAAAGCAAGCAGAACGAATGGATCCACAAATCAGAATTCTGCTGGAAGTTACTTATGAGGCTATCGTTGATGCAGGTATTGATTGTTTTGATACATTTTGTTATTGTTTTTATTTACGCTTGCACTAAATACATATCGCCTGCTACCTTCATGAAACTTGCCTGCCTCAGATTGTTTCCATATTCTCTCTATATAATACAGTCAACTCGCCAAAATTCTGAACGCCCTCAAAACCGATTCTCGTGTTAATTGGACGATGTTTGAAGTCGCAACACCAACAGAGACATGTAAGACATGCCTGGAATAGGCCTTCTATAAACTGTGAACTTCATAGAAAATTGAACCAGTTGGTATTGGAAAAGTTGACTGTTTGTGGAAGCACATCTATGCCTTACTGTTTGCATGCATCGATCAAGCATTCTCTAATTTATGTAGAAAGGTCATCGATTACTTCCATACAAGGTCGATCACTTCCTTGGCTACGCTGCACACTTGCTCACATCTCTGACGTTGCAGGTTACAACCCGCAGGATCTGAGGGGCAGCAGGACGGGTGTGTTCGTGGGCGTGTCAGGGAGCGAAGCCTGTGATGCATGGAGCTTGGATCCGGAGACTGTGTCAGGTTACACGATGACTGGTTGCCAGAGGGCGATGGTGTCAAACAGACTCTCCTTCTATTTTGACTTCAAAGGTAGGAAACAGTTCTGATTAAGCGACTGCTCACTTCTGTATGATATAGGTTCTGTAGATAGTGTTTAATCACTGTTGTCATCGTATTTGTAAATTTTGCCTCACAGGTGAACAGCTGTATCCAGGGTTGAAACTGGCCCCCTAAGCTCCATGTTTGTTATTAATGTGTTGTTACGAAAGATTTCTTTTAAATGACTATTTAATGTAGGCAGTATGAGAGATGTGTAAACACGTTGTGTGACAGAGTGTATGGTGTCCGTGCATTGCTTCTACAGGTCCTAGTTATTCGATCGACACTGCATGCTCCTCCAGTCTGTACGCCGTGGACAATGCTGTAGCTGCTATTAGAAGCGGCCAGTGTGACTCTGCTATAGTCGGTGGAGTCAACCTGAACCTGAAGCCACAGACTGCACTCCAGTTTCATAGGTTGGGAATGCTGTCACCAGAGGGCATGTGCAAGTCATTTGATGCAGCCGGTGAGTGGTGCTGTTGATGTAGCTGTTGATGTAGCTGTTGATGGTGTTGTTGATGGTGCTGTTGATGGTGCTGTTGATGGTGCTGTTGATGGTGCTGTTGATGTAGCTGTTGATGGTGCTGTTGATGTAGCTGTTGATGGTGCTGTTGATGGTGCTGTTGATGGTGCTGTTGATGTAGCTGTTGATGGTGCTGTTGATGTAGCTGTTGATGTAGCTGTTGATGGTGCTGTTGATGTAGCTGTTGATGTAGCTGTTGATGGAGCTGTTGATGGTGCTGTTGATGGTGCTGTTGATG